TTAATGTATTCCACATACTGCACTTGTATTTTAAGTGCAGCCCAAGCTGAAAGCTGGACGACACAGCATGCACCCCCAGCATGCAGGTGTCTCTGCAAAATAGTATTGATTAGCCACTCTATGCCAGTCAGTATAGGGCTTAATAGTTTTGTTCATAAGTACCAACACTGGCCTACTTAATTAGAGTGTGGCACAAACATATGGGCACTTAAACTGAGCAAGTGTAGATGATTTTTAGGCTGCATGCTTTGTATATTTTATTGTAGATATTTTGCTGTCATATTGTATATGGATCTAATTCCACAAAGCAGCCCTATGATCTAAAAGCTTCTGAACATATGCAAATGAGCAAAGTTGCAAGGCCCCCCAGTGTCCAGCTGGTTTGAGAGCGGGAGTGCGTTTGTTTATATTCTTGTTTAATGACAATCTCTGTAGTGTCATTAGCCACTTGTTAGCAACTGTCTTTTTTTTTATTAAAATTGAACTGATTAAAGCTTAATAGCTGTTTATAATTGTAAATATATCATACATGTTATTGCATCCCAAGAAGACTGCTCAGAACAAGATCTAATTGAATGATGGTTGCCGCTTAAGAGACATACAATTTTTTATTTGTCTGGTTTTTAAAAGACTTGAATTAATTTTTATTTGTTGCGAAAACATGAAGAAAATTAAAGGAAAACTGAAAATCACATCTGTAACAAGTACTTGCACTGTCTCGCTAGCAAGTTTGCAGCTGTTTGCAGACTTAAGGATCAATGTTAGTGAAGTGATAGTTTATTATGCTGAGAAAAGCTTCACGCTTTAGTGAACCTCTTTCAAGAGTATCTAGAGTATTTGATGCTCCAAAGAGAAATCTTTCAGCTCATTCTAGTTCAAGTATTCCTTTAAGTTCAACTAAAAAGTGAAACTCCTCGAGTCAATCGTAATTAAATATTTGGTTTGCATCATTATTTATCGATGTGCAGTCAGTGTATCAAGTGTGTTTCTATAACAATAATGTTCTATTCCTTGCTGAGACACTCACAATACACCAGAGCGGGATTAAGTGTTTAATCACAAAATTACAAATGTGAGAGAGGCTTATAGATTTAATAAATATAATGTTGCAAATATAAGAAGCTCCTTTACTTAAGTTTAGTGAAAAGATTAAAACATGGTTTAAAAAACTATCAATTACTTTGGTTCTAAAGAACATGGATATTTACAAAACAGATGTAAGTGCAATCTTTTTAAGAATTTGTAAATATGACTTCATGCAGTGTGACATATATTGCATTAATAAAATTTACATATTTTTTGTACATTCTTGAACAAAACAACCTCTATAAACATTTTCACAGGGAAATCTCTTTACAATCATTGTATTTACAAAGTAAGAAAATATATTATTGGGTATAATCAATGGATAATCAAGAATAATTTCATTTCAAGTTCGTTTCTCAAATTAAAAAACAGTACATTTTCAACATAAATGCTTTATTTTTCTCTGTTTATTGTATCATTAAAACCTTACAGAAGTGTTTCATGTATATTCAAAATATTATAAAGGAAATAAAACCGCTGAATTGTTTACATCTATGTCAGTCTTCTGCGCATTGTTACATATAGTGTATTAATGAAAGTTATATTATTTGTAATTTTTTCAAGAAAACAACATCCACAGACATTTTTAACAGGGGAATCTCTTTACAATCATTTTATTTACAGAATGAGATTATTGAATATTGGGTATAATCAATGGATAATCAAGAATAATTTGCATTTGTATTGAATATTAAAAGTTTTTTTTGCAAAGAAACAACATTTACATTAACAGTCATATATTGTGAGTATCTTTGACGCCTGAGAAAAGCTTTGCATGCATTTTTAAAACTGATAAAATAAAACCCTGAATTGTTTACATCTATGTCTGCAGTCTTCTCCCTCCTTCACTTTGTCGGTGCTTTGCTACATTTCTTGTGCACATGCATAATACAAGAGAAGGACCCACCTAGAAAAAAGAAAAGTGCTCCCAGTGGTCAAAGACCACACAGGCCACCTTTAACTTTACATTTAGATAAGACTGTGAGACACATGTGAAGTTGATCAGTAGAGAACTGTTTGATTATTTGTGCCTCTTGAGCTTCTCCATGAGATGGACACTGATGACAGCAGACACCATGATGACCAGACCGACAGAGAACACGACTGTCTTCACCAGGCAGAGAGAGATACCAGCAGAGAGATGCTTTTTGATGCAGAGAGAGATTTTTATTGTAAGGCATAAAAATGTCATAGTACAGTCAGGCATAAAAAGTCCTTAAGTATATTCAGCCATAAACGGTCATAATAACAATATAGTATGTTAAAGCATAAAAAGTGATAAAAATGTCATAGTGGACTCAGGCATAAAAAAAAGGACATAGTATAGTGTTACATAGGGTTAGATTCTGTTTTATTTTGGTGTTTCCTTTTGATCCTGTTGCTGATCCTTCTAAGTTGATGGCCTGATGGACACACACCTGTGCTGACTGGTGGTCTATTTAGGCCGGCCCTTTGTTTCAGCTCTCTCTCTCTCTCTCTGCCTCCTGCTGCATAATAAATAAGTCATAATAACGACATAGTATAGTAAGCCATAAACACGTCATAGAATAGTAAGGCATAAACAGGCATAAATATGACATAATATAGTAAGGCACAAATGTCCTAGGAATGTAATAGTATAGTAAGGCATAAAAAGTCATAAAAACCACATAGTATGATAAGGCATAAAAATTCATAGTATAGTAAGGCAGTAAAAAGCAAAAACATCATAGTAAAGTAAAGCATAAAAAGTGATAAAAACATCACAATATAGAGATGCATAAAAAGTAATAAAAACAACATAGTATACCAAAGAATAAAAAGTCAAAAACGTCATATTGTAGTAAGTCATAAAACGTCATAAAAACATCATAATCATCATAGTCTCGCATTGGACAGCCCTTTGCTACATGTCATTCCCCCTCTCTCTGCCTCCCCATTTCCTGTCTCTCTACTGTACTATCAAATAAAGGCATAAAAAAGCCCAAAAAATAAACTTAAAAAAAAAAAAAAAAAAAGTCATAAAAACGAGTCATAATAACGACATAGTATAGTAAGCCATAAAAAGTCATAATAAAGTCATTATAAAGCTCTCTCTCTCTGCCTCCTGGTGCAGCAGCACCTTTGTGGTGCAAGGTATATGTCTTCTTTTCAGTTTCACCCATATATTGTTGATAAACTTTAATGTAGTAAACTTCTTTCTGGTGTTGTGTCCATTATTATGTTTGGTGTTTGAGCCAGACGTAACAATAGCAAGGCATAAAAATTTCATAGTATACTAAGGCATAAGAAGGCATATAAACGTCATAGTATAGTAAGCCATAAAAAGTCATAAAAATGTAAAGCATAAAGCATAAATAGTAAAGCATAAAAATGTCATCATACTTTAAGGCATAAAAAGGCATTAAATATGCCATATTACAGTAAGGCATAAAACCTCATAAAACATCAAATATAATAAGGCATAAAATAGTCATAGTATAGTAAGGCATTAGAGTCACCAATAGCGATTTGCCAACATCATAAACATCAAATCCCATTCAGGGGTTTTAAAGTATGCCGCTGTGTGAAGATTTAGTGAAGATGTGTAGCTGCAGCTCAAGTAATGTAAATATTAATGCGGTGAAGTAATAGAAATCTAGCCAAATGAAATGTAAATTAAAGAAAATGAAAATATGTTGTTTGTTAGTGACTTGCAGATGAAAGAGAAACCATGTAAAATACGGTGTGTGCGTTTCCTGACATTGAAACTGGGATCCACTGAGGCATGACTGCCAGAAAGCCTGTTTTTAACTCTTTGGACCCTGTATGCTGTGGTACAAAAGCCCACTAAGGCCTGAAATTAATGTATTCCACATACTGCACTTGTATTTAAGTGCAGCCCAAGCTGAAAGCTGACGACACAGCATGCACCCCCAGCATGCACCCCCAGCATGCAGGTGTCTCTGCAAAATAGTATTGATTAGCCACTCTATGCCCAGTCAGTATAGGCTTAATAGTTTTGTTCATAAGTACCAACACTGGCCTACTAATTAGAGTGTGGCACAAACATATGGGCACTAAAATTTCAGCAAGTGTAGATGATTTTTAGGCTGCATGCTTTGTATTTTATGTAGATATTGTGCTGTCATATTGTATATGGATCTAATTCCACAAAGCAGCCCTATGATCTAAAAGCTTCTGAACATATGCAAATGAGCAAAGTTGCAAGGCCCCCCAGTGTCCAGCTGGTTTGAGAGCGGGAGTGCGTTTGTTTATATTCTTGTTTAATGACAATCTCTGTAGTGTCATTTAGCCACTTGTTAGCAACTGTCTTTTTTTTTATTAAAAGTGAACTGATTAAAGCTTAATAGCTGTTTATAATTGTAAATATATCATACATGTTATTGCATCCCAAGAAGACTGCTCAGAACAGAATCATAATTGAATGATGGTTTGCCGTTAAGAGACATACAATTTTTTATTTGTCTGGTTTCTAAAGACTTGAATTAACTTTTTTTATGTGTTGAAACATGAAGAAAATTAAAGGAAAACTGAAAATCCATCTGTTTGGAATCAAGTACTTGCTACTTGTGGTTGATCTGCAAAGTTTGCAGCTGTTCTGAACTTAAGGATCAATGTTAGTGAAGTTTATTATGCTGGAAAAAGCTTCACGCTTTAGTGAGACCTCTTTCAAGAGTATCTTTTAGAGTATTTGATGCTCCAAAGAGAAATTCTCAGTTCTCATTCTAGTTCCAAGTATTCCTTTAAGTTCAACTAAAAAGTGAAACTCCTCGAGTCAATCGTAATTAAATATTTTGTGTTTCTGCATCATATTTTGCTGTGCAGTCAGTGTATCAAGTGTGTTTCCTATAACAATAATGTTCTATTCCTTGCTGAGACACTCACAATACACCAGAGCGGGATTAAGTGTTAATTCACAAAATGAAAAGATGTGAGAGAGGCTTATAGATTTAATAAATGTAATGTTGCAAATATAAGAAGCTCCTTTACTTAGTTTAGTGAAAAGATTAAAACATGGTTTAAAAAACTATCAATTACTTGGTCTAAAGAACATGGAATTTACAAAACAGATGTAAGTGCAATCTTTTTAAGAATATTGTAAATATGACTTCATGCAGTGTGACATATATTGCATTAATAAAATTTACATATTTTTTGTACATTCTTGAACAAAACAACCTCTATAAACATTTTCAACAGGGAAATCTCTTTACAATCATTGTATTTACAAAGTAAGAAAATATATTATTGGGTATAATCAATGGATAATCAAGAATAATTTTCATTTCAAGTTCGTTTTCTAAATTAAAAACAGTACATTTTCAATAAAATGCTTATTTTTCTCTGTTTATATTGTATCATTGAAACCTTACAGAAGTGTTTCATGTATATTCAAAGATAATTTATAAAGGAAATAAAACCCTGAATTGTTTACATCTATGTCTGCAGTCTTCTCCCTCCTTCACTTTGTCGGTGCTTTGCTACATTTCTTGTGCACATGCATAATACAAGAGAAGGCCCCACCTAGAAAAAAAGAAAAGTGCTCCCAGTGGTCAAAGACCACACAGGCCACCTTTAACTTTACATTTAGATAAGACTGTGAGACACATGTGAAGTTGATCAGTAGAGAACTGTTTGATTATTTGTGCCTCTTGAGCTTCTCCATGAGATGGACACTGATGACAGCAGACACCATGATGACCAGACCGACAGAGAACACGACTGTCTTCACCAGGCAGAGAGAGATACCAGCCTCTGGACCTGCAGCACAACAACACAGGTACATACATACAGTGGTTAAGAGGAAGTAATAAATCTGTTATTCCTTTTACTGTTTAATGATATTTAAGTTTAACAGTATTTATTGTGCTAACTCCTATTTGTTCTACACTCAGTAATAACAACAACATTTGTCAAACACGGTAAAATTGCATCAGCAAAAGCAGAAGGAAATTAAATTATTTATTTAATCATTATCATCATTTAATGTCCCTTTAAAAAAACTTCTGACATGGTGGTTGATCATGTTCAGAATTTATTTACTTGGACAAAGTAAAAGTTTTATTTAAAAAATAAATCCTTATATGCTCTGAATTTAATTCCACACTGTGCATTATTATTATCAACAGGTTGTTTTGTCTGTCAGACTTACCAGTGTGTCTCCAACAGAAATCATCAATCATTTTACTGTTGTTGGTCCAGCTGACCTGGTTGCTATGGTTACAGATGATTAAGTCATTCAGCAGATAGACATTGAGTGAAGCACCAGAGGTTGTGACCTTTGACCTCTCTCCTCCCTCCTGACTGCAGGTGTTGGTGTCACATGTAAAGGTGCTGTTGATGTGATGTGAGTCCTGTGTGCTGCAGGTCACAGTGAGGCTACAGGAGTCTGAGCTGCTGGACACAGAGTCTACTGTCAGAGCAACTGGAGACACTGGATCTGAGGGGGAAAGTTTACATGAAGCGTTTCAGAAACATGGCAGCAGATTGTCTCTGTCAGTGTCTGGGATGTTAACAAACCTACCTTGAACTGTGACGCTGTATCTAGCTAGTATTTTATCTCCTTGAGCCGCTGTCACTTGTGCAATATAAACTCCACTGTCTGCCTCTTGTAGATTCTTCAGTTTCACAGAGAAATTTTTCACAGAAGCCTCAACCCTTCCAGTGTAAACATCAGAGACTATTGGTTCTTTACCAGGTGAAAATGTTACTAAAGTGTTACTTTCCATTGAATATCCATTGAAAAATCAAAAAACCCTCAGGTACATCATCCTCCATGACCTCCAGCATTAAATCCTTCCCCTTCTGCACAAATACAGGAGTCACAGCACTGGAGCCTGTAAAACAACACAACAGCACAGAATCACTTGAATGTTGAATTCAGTCATGAATTAGTCAGTGATCATTAAAAGTGAGATGAATATTGAGACAAGAGAGGAGCCACTGATTTGAACCTTGTGTTCTCAGCACATTCAGGTTCATGTTTTTATAGATATAAAATATAATCTGAGATTAGCTCATGATAAATAATTACATATATTTGATTCTGATGAAATAAAGTGACCGATCATCAGAAGTATTGATACTGACAACTATAACATTGTATCAGCGAAGAGGGGAATGTGATAAGATCTTAAAATATCGATTCGACCTGTACTTCTCAATTAACAAATGAAATCTAATACCTGTGTCCTCTGAGAAAACAAAACCCCTTCAGTCCCACAGTGACGTCACAATGTACATTTAGACTTGAACTGTTTCAAGTGTTAAAGTATTGTTCTTTTTAATCTACATAAAGGACTAACTGACCTCGTCTTCCTGACTGCTCACATTCTTTCAGATAGAACATGTGTGTATTTCTAATCAACATGAACGTCACATGTTGATCAGTTCTGCCCCTGGTGCTCAGTTTATCATTCACAGTAAAGAAGCCTGCTCACGTATCATTGCTGTATCTGTTAATAACAGTTCATTAGTGTTCTTGTCTTACCTGGTGCCTCTATGCAGACCAGCAGTCCCAGTATCACAGCGACAGACGTCATGTTCTCTGGCTTCACTCAGTCCAAACTGCACAAATGTGAGGTGCGTGTGTTCTCCTCTAACAGATCACAGGGTTAAAGTCTTATACAGATGTGCTTTTCCTGTCAAAAACACTCTCACAGGCGTTTGCGTGCGGGAAGTGAACAAATGAACTTCTCTATTCAAGTTCCTCCTGTTCTGTATACTGCTTGAGATCAGTTAATAAACACTGAATATTTTTTAATGCAAACCTTTATCAAAGTACCAATTGATATCCATGAAAAGATGATGAATAGTAAGTATTATGTGTTCCAGGCAAAATCTTGTGGGCTTCTTTGCTTAATAAATATAGCTCTCTCTATATGTATAGTTCTTATTTATTCACTCTAACAGGACCTAGTTTTTTGCTGCACAGAGTTAACTGGAGAGTCATTTTCACCTGTGGCCTCCGGGATCAAGAGAAATTTGAAAGAAAAAAAGTGAAAGAAACAAAAGAAGGATAAAAAACGTTACATAGGAACTACAAATTGCTAATTCTTTGTTCTATGTATTTGTTTTTTACTGGTGCAGTTTTTGTTCACTTCAACACTTAAGTTGCGAGTGATGACCATTTCCTTTCTGATCGCTCTGTATTTAACAATCTTTGTGTTCTCGGTTTACCCTATGGCAAGATGGAAAATGAACCTGTGATGACGTGTAAAAAAAATAAACTGTCATTCTTTCCACAGTGATCACTCTGCACTCTAGGAACAAAGATAAAGAAAAAGCAGAAAACAACCAAAAATTTAAAAAAATGTCAGTTTGTTCTCTACATTTCATTTGAGCCTGATTCTGTGCCAGCACCTTGCACCGATGTGCACAAGGAGACACAATCTGAAGCTCTGAAAAAACAGTTCAATGAGAATTAATTACAGTTTGTTTTAAAACCAAGACTGGTCTTCCCCGTGTCCTCCTTCCTAGCTCTGAAGGTCCAACAGGTGATAATGAGTCATCAGGTTTTATCTTGCTCTCCTGTGCTTCACTCTTCACTCACTGAACTCTGAGAAGTTTCTGAAATCTGGACTCAGAGATCACCTGACTGGTTCTGTTGAGCAAAAGATTTTAATTTTCCTTCACTCCTTGCTATTAAAGCTCCTGTTGTTGCTTAGAGCCTGTATCAACATTCACCTAGTTCTGGTTTTATTTAATTGACATTAATACTAAACCCCCGATGAAACCAGCTAACCGTGTAATGTTTTATGTTAATTTGCTCAGTGGTACTAGAACAGGCAGTCCGTGGAATGATTTTTTAGCATCTTGGTGTCTTAGGTGGCATTAAACAGTTTTGATCAGATTAATTTTTCCACTGGACTTTTGGATATTGCAGAGAAATAGTTTGTGACCACTAATATTTATATTAACACCACACATCACACACACGGTATATATATATCATATATTATACTATACAAGTGTGTAACGTGGATCTTCGAACAAAGTCTAAAGCACTTCCCATTACACCTAATCTACATTTTTATTCCAGGAATTCCTTCTTTTGGGATTTTCAAAGGTCAGTATCTTGCACTGGATTAAGGTAAGTGAAAGGTAAGTAAAAGTTAAAGTATTAAATCTAGACTTACATGTCTTTAAGTATTATATGGACCTTAGTTTTCATAAAACACAGCTAAAGTTAAGGTAAGTTTTAACATTGTGTTGATTTGTGTAAAACTGAACTTGTCATTTTATACGTTGAAACGTTGGCATAGCAATGTGTTTAACTACAATCTTACATTTTATGACTGGAAAGTGAACTCTTGGATTGTTTGAGCTATTCAGTAGTTGAAGATCATTAAATGTTTTCATTTGTTGAGATGTCTGAGCCGTAAACATTTAAAGTGGTTTTGATCAGACTGATTGCAACCTTTTTGTTGTCACATGAATTAAAGGGTGTAAAGCCAATGGAAAAATCTCTCCCATGGCTTTTTTTGTGGGGGGTAACCAGGGTGATGATATCGACCAGATTGGCCCAAAAATATGTCATCTGCAGCTGAGGCTCTGCTGACAATGCTGTATAGGATCTCAGCAGGACAAGTAACGAAAGCCCATAAAGCTAATATCAGAACAATATCAGGTTACTGACATGAATTCATTATTTTTACTGCGAATTAAAAAAGTTTTAGGGGTGGAGAGGCGAATATTTTCTCTGTCTTTTTTCATATTACCTAGTGCCACAGGTAACAGAGTTTGAAGGTGTCTTCAATGAATCATGTCTCACTCAGTAAGATAACATTAAAATCACATGGACACCGTAGGCTGCAGTCTGGCACGCAACGGCTGATCCTGTCTTCACACCTCTGCAGCCAGCTCTCATCTTGCTTAACGCACTTTGATCATTAAAATTACTTAACCAATCTTCTACTTGTCTGTGTCGGTCTCTGAGTCCAAATTCAAAAGTAACAAAGCTGTAACATGGCTGTGGCAGACGGTCGCCCACCCTGTAGTTCTGGTTCTGTCCTCACGTTCTTCTTATAAAGGGAGTTTTCCTCTCCACTGTTCTAATGTTACTTCTATTGAAATGCCCATGAAGAATTAACACATTTCTGAGGTACATCATCCTCAGCACCTCCAGAAGTAAATCCTTCCCCTTCTGCATGAATACAGAGAGTTCAGCGCGAGCTGCGAGCTCGTAAAAGAGACACATAATACAATGAGAAATCTACAATGTCTCTATATAACTAAGTAATATATGATGTGTCTTAGTCTCGCAAGCTGCATGTGTTGCTACCGCTACACGGCCAAAATCAGGTACTGATACGGCTATCATACACACTTTAACAGTGCTTGAGCCCACCTAGTCGCATTCTCTAATCAGCATCCAGACTGAAGCTCGCCATATTAAAATAAGAAAATGTGTCCACTTACATGATAGTTTTAATATTTCAGTCAATTGCATTTAAACTCCTTCCATCTACATATGTTTTTTTGTTATTGTTTCTCGGCTTAATGTTCATTACCAACTAAATCAGACTATTTGTTGAAACAAGCTTCTTGGCTTGGCTATCCTCCACTAGTAGCCTCAAATATTTAATTCATCTGATATGTTAATGCTAAGGTACAACAAATCAGATTTTAGAAATATAATTGGAGTAATTGACTAGAAAAATTAGGTTAAGAGACATATAAAATGAAAGGTCATTCTGACCACATCTATTACGTGATTACATAATAAGGAAAGTGAAGCGTGTTTTTGCTGTGTCTTCAACCAAACTCCTACCTTAGTGCACATGCACATACACAGTTTTCAGTAGGGGGCGGCTGTCCTGGATGTGCAATGTGTGTTAGCATTCAATTCAATTAGTAAAACTATAGAACAGTGGAGAGGAAATCCCTTTTAAACAGGAGAAAACGAGAGTGGGACAAGAAACCAGACTCAGGGTGGGCGACCGTCTGCCCAAGCCTTGTTAGCAGCTTTTGTTACTTTTGAAATTGGAACTCAGAAGCACGACATCAGAACAAGGGTGGAGATGGTTTAGGTATTTGAATGGTCAAAGCGTGTAAGCACAAGAGGAAGCTGGCGGCCCTCGGCGGCAGATAGACGGTGCTCGAAGCATGGGAATCAGCCGTTTGTCCAGCTGCCGCCTGAGGTTGCCATTGGTGTTTTAAGTTTCTACTGAGTGGACCATGATTCAGTTGAGAGAAACACCCTCTCAAACTCTGGCTCTCTGAGCTGTGGCACATGCGGTATTGAAGACAGGAAATATTCGCCTCTCCACCCCCTACCTTTTTTTTTTGTTGAGATTTCCAGTTGAAAATAAGGAATTCAGTCATTAACCATGTATTGAGACTAGGTCTAGTTTACTGGGCTGTGTGGTTAACTGTGATCGTGCTGAGATCGCTATACAGCATTGTCAGCCAGACGGGCGCTCAAGCTGGCAGGAGATGACATATTTTTGTAGGCGCCTATCTGGTCGATATCATCACCCCTGGTACCGCCACAAAAAAGGCACATGAGAGTTTTCCATGGCTTTTTCAATTATTGCCAGAAAATAAGTTCTGTGGACAAACAAAAGTTTCAGCAAGATCATTCTCAACAAATGAAAACACTTTAATGATTTTTTGAGGCCTAAATCCAGTCACCATGAAAAAAATAATATGCTATATCCCTTCAACGTCAACTGGAATATGACAAGTCATGTTTTTACAACAAATCAACACAATATGTAAACACTAACCTGTACTTAGCTGGTGTTTTTATGAAAAACTAAGGTCCTATAATTAACCTGTCTGAACACTTAACTTTAACTTTTTACTTACCTGTCACATACCTGTAATCCCCATGTCAAGATCTGACCTTAAAATCCAAAAGAGAATCCTGTGAAAGGAGATGTAGATTTAGTGTAGATGGGAATGTGCGTTTATGCTTTGTCAGTAGAAGAAGAATCACACTTTATTACACACACTGTAGTATTATATAAGAAAATATGTATTGAGAGTGTGTTGTTGTGATGTGTGGTGTTGTGTATATATATACTTATATATATATTTTAAGTGTTTGTCACAGGAACTTATTCTTCTGCAATAATCCAAAATGCCAGTGGAAAAATTATTTTCAAACTGTTTAATGCACCTAAGACCACAAGATGCCTAAAAAAATATTGCCACGCGACTGCTGTTCAGTACCATTAGCAAAATTAAAATTAAAACATTACAGTTAGCTGGTTTCAGGGCGTCCTAGTATGTAATGTCATTAAATAAACCCAGAACTAGGTGAATGTTGAGTACAGCTCTAAGCAAAACAGGAGGCTTATTATATGAGCAAAGAGTGAAGGAAAATAAAATCTTTTGCTCAACAGAACCAGTCAGGTGATCTCGTAGTCCCAGATTTCAGACTTCTCAGAGTTCAGTGTTGAAGAGTGAAGCACAGAGAGCACGATTAAAACCTGATCGACTCATGTATCACCTGTGACCTTCAGAGCAGGAAGAGAGACATCGGAAGACCAAGTTTGTTTTAAACAAACATGTACTAATTCTCATGTGGGAACTGTTTCAGATTTCAGATGTGTCTCCTTGTTGCACATCGGTGCAAGGTGCTGCACAGATCAGGGTCAAATGAAATGTAGAAGAACAAACTGACATTTTTGTTTTAATTTTGGTTGGTTTTCTGCTTTTTCTTTTATCTTTGTTTCCTAGAGTGCAGAGTGATCACTGTGTAAAGATGACAGTTTATTTTTTTACACGTCATCACAGGTATTTTCCATCTTGCATAGAGTAAACGAAAACACAAGATTGTGTTAAATACAGAGCGATCAAAAGGAAGTGGTCATCATGCAACTTAAGTGTTGAAGTGAACAAAAACTGCACCAGTAAAACAAATACATAGAACAAAGATTAAGCTATTTGTAGTTCCTATGTAACGTTTTTTAATCCTTCTTTTTTGTTTCTTCACTTTTTTTCTTTCAAATTTCTCTTATGTCCCGGAGGCCACAGGTGAAAATGACTCTCAGTTAACTCTGGTGCAGCATAAAAAAACTAGGTCTGTTGAGTGAATAAATAAGAACTATACATATTGAGAGAGCTATTATTTATTAAGCAAAGAAGCCCACAAGATTTGCCTGGAACACATAATACTACTATTCATACATCTTTCATGGATATCAATTGGTAACTTTGATAAAGGTTTGCATTAAAAAATATTCAGTGTTTTTAACTGATCTCAAGCAGTAATACAGAACAGGAGAACTTTGAATAGAGAAGTTCAA